TGGCACATCGACCTAGAATAAGTGCTCTAGTCCACGATTCCTGGATTCCAACCTCTCAAAGGAAGTCCAGCTGGTTGGTAGTAGTCTCATTGAAGAAAGGGCAAGGAAGGAAGAAAGCAGAGATAGCTAGAAGTGAAGACCTAAAAAGAAAGAATTGAATTACTAAATGGAAAAGGGGTGCTTTAGATCGTGGTAGTAACCACTAGTGATAGGGAATAAATCGGGGAAGGACAAAGGTAAAAGAAGGATGTTCCATCAAATCAGGATGTTACTGAAAATGGGAAAGAGAGGGGGAGAAGGGAAAAGCGATTCCACAACGACTGCACTGTTGATTGAACAAGTCCGAATACTCACAAAGATCAAAGCCTTGGTAGAAATAGCGAGGCAACAACCACTTGTTAAAGCGGGAATATTCCTCCGGAATCTCGCAGAAAAATCGGCGAATCTAAAAAGAAATTCAGGGTGGATAGATATTGAAAGACTAAGAAAGAAAAGAGAACAAAAAAGTCCGCAAAAAGATATAATAGACTTTCATAAAAAGAAAAAAGAGACGAAAAACAGCCTAAAGCCAAGCGAACAAGAAAGCTACTAGTCCTACATATGATTCCCCTATTTCTACTTCCTATGATGGTTGCCTTTCTGTTGGGCGTCGGGGTTGGTTTAATATTTTTAAGCTGGCGATTATGCTCATTTCTTCGGGTGTGCCTCTTAGGGTTGGGGACAAGGCAATGCCAATTGAAGACGCCAGTTCAATAACAAGAGGAGCAGATCAATAGCCAAAGCGGACCAGAGATCATAGACCAGAGGCTAGTCGTAGATTAGTTTTCGGTAATCAGTGACGAATGCGGCGGTTCCTACTATATATTTTGGTTCCGGTTCAGGTTTCAGGTGCCCGTTGCTGGGCATCATACCTACTATATTAAGAAGCATAGACCAGTGACAAAAGACAACCATGAGAGGCGATTTCGGGACCAAAAAAGTGAGGTGACTAGGGAACAGACTAGTTTGTTTGGCTTTAATTTAAGAAGAAACCGATTCCTCAACAGAGGAGTAGAAGATGGGATCGGTAGAGATTGACCTAAAAGACATCTAGGATCAACTGAATAATGTGATGCTTGACATGGCTGTAATGAAATTGGAAGACTTTGAGCCGTTGTTTTGAATACTTTTGGGAGCACTCGAAAAGGCAACAGATTGGTTTTGCGCCAAAGGAGAAGGAGCAAGTTGAAAAGGCTGATTTGCTTGAAAAGAAGAAAGAAAAAAGGTTTGACTCTTTGGCAGTAGCTAATCTGAATTCGTAACCTGCCTTCTTGGGCAGGAATCGTCAGATCTTGCCCAGTCAAAGGAGCGATCGACACTCGGTCAGAATAAAAGGAAAGTGCCAGCAGCAGTTCTATTTGTCAATAACAACCTGCGATCAACATATAGTTTGTGTGCCGATATGTATGTTTAGTAGGTGCTCTGGAAACAAACATTTTTTTCGTATGTATGTGCTTTCTATTCTAGTCTGCCCTGGATTTGTAAGCGATTGCCGGTATGCATCCTATTGGTAAGGGCAAAAACCTCTTACTTGGTTTTAACCTTAGCACGAATATCTAAAGGAAATGTAATTACCCCAAGCCTCTTCAGGCGGGCTATGTGTTCGAAGAGCGGATCGAGCTCAGAGTGTTGGTAAGCCTGTCTTAGTAAGGTCGGCTAAGCCGTGTAGCTAAGCACGGCTAAATAGAAAGGCTTGTCCGGATGAGTGGGCATCCTTAAAGCTAGAGCACCGGGGAAGCAAGAGCGATTGTCTTCAAAAGAATTCCCCAACAGGAGAAGGATCGTTACTTTGAGTCCTAAAAGCACCTCTGTATCCCACGGCAATCCTAATGTAATGTGACTTTCCTATTAAGGAACTTGCTTGAAAGGTCTTCTTCTCTTGTCAATGTCAATCTGCAACCAAGTCAAGAGGTAGAACAAAGGCATCCTCAAATGAGACAGATTCAAGCATAACCACTCACTCGGGCGTGGGAAATAAGAAAGGTGGATTCGATCTTACTCCTTTGCCCGCTACAGATTCTGTTAACGAGTTTAGAGCTTCCCAGTCTTGGGCTTATTCCTCTTCTTCTCAAGCAGTAAGAGGGCATGCCTTAAGGAAAGGACTCAGTCTCTCGGGTATCTATCAACATATAGGGATCTTGCCTCTGCCGCTCCCAAGAAATGAAAATTAGTTCTGCCCCGGGAGCAATACTTACCACAGAACCCCATGCCACTACAATAGCGCAAACAATACTTCTTAAGAAGCTTCTCCAGAGCCTTACGAATGTCTTTCCGAAGACGCACCTTTTCTGGGTCATCGTCCTCCGGAGCACCAGACTGGGCGGGCCCTGGCCCGCGTGAAGTGGAGGCACCGTGCCAACCAACCCGATTGTTTCCTTTCATCATATGAAATTTTATTTTTAAATAAAGTAAAAAGATTATAAAAATAATACAAAAAAAAATGAAAAAACAATCGGCATGGTTCTGGGTGTAAAGCAGCTCGATACGGATAGTAGTCTCAATTCTAGATTGAAAAAACAAAGTAGGCATCGCTCTTGACCTTGTCCTCCCCCCGCCCTATCACTAGTGATTACTCCCAATCCAAAGCACCCCTTTTCCATTCATATCGATTTGGGTTTTTCCGCACCATATTTTGATCTGCCTCTTCTTCGATCCGGAATTCCCAGCAAATCCTTGACTCCTCGAATACAATGGGATTTCACACCTGGCGAATCTTTTACTCTACCTCCTCTTATTAAGACCATAGAATGTTCCTG